ATTTTTAGTAGAGACGGGGTTTCACCATGTTGGCCAGGCTGGTCTCAAACTCGTGACCTCAGGCAATACACCCACCTCGGCCTCCAAAAGTGCTGAGATTACAAGCTTGAGCCACCACACCCAGCCTGCAGATTAGATTTCTGAAGTGACTTCCTGATTGCAGTTTCTTTTACTAGAGAACTAAGTGCAGACGTAGAATTAAGCTACTTCTGCAAGTAAGGTTTGTTAAAACTATACTTAAATGTGCATAGTATTTTTAATTCATTCAAATACATACCATATGCAAGCACCATGGTAGAAACTAATAAGGTAAACATGGCCAAAAACATACAGGGTCTCTGCCCTCATGCAATTTAAGAATCTACTGAGGGAGACAGATAATCACCTGAAAATATAATTAAAGTGATAAATGCTCCAAATGAAAGGTGCATGATAGTTGTAATATAAAAGTGTATGATAAACTGATTTCCAGGGTAGCTAAACCTGTGTAATAAGTAATTCAGTAACTCTTATAGCTGTCTGCCTTAGTTTCTCTTTTTTTTTTTTTTTTTTTGAGACAGTCTCATTCTGTCGCCCAGGCTGGAGTGCAGTGGCGTGATCTCAGCTCACTGCAACCTCTACCTCCCAGGTAGCTAAACCTGTGGTGGAAATTTTACATTCTTTAGAATCAGAATTATTCAACAAAGAATCCTTCTGGGATTTTTATAGGAATTGTATTAAACCCATAAATCAACTTGGGGGCAACTTAGTTAATATATTGTCTTCCAATTCGTATAAATGGTTATGCTTCAGACTCTTTAAGTCTAGACACTTACAATCTATTATCTCTCTGAATCTATTATCTCTCTGAAGCATGTTATCTGGAGGATTCATCTGCATAAAACCTTGGTCTCTACAACCCACTATCCCAGACATCCCTTTCTACTGATAATAACCGACTGCCAATCAGAAAATATTTGGATTTGTCTATGACCTGGAAGTCCCTGCTTTCAGTTGTCCCACCCTCCTAAACTAAATCAGTGTACATCTTACCTGTCTTGACTGATGCCTTACATCTCTTTAAAATGTATAAAGCCAAGTTGTAACCCATTTACCTTGGGCACACGCTTTCAGGATCTCCTGTGGGCTGTGTCACAGCCCATTAGTCACTCACATTTGGCTCAAAATAAATCTCTTCAAATATTTTAGAGTTTGACTCTTCATCAACAAGGTCCTGTAGGTGTTTTGTTGGATTTATACTTAGTATTACATTTCAAAACTGTAAATGGTGTTAGCATACAGAAACACTATTTTTGTGTGGTCGATCTTGTATTCTGTGATCTTATTAAATTCAGTAGTTCTTGTAAGTTCTTGGAGATTTCTGAGGAATTTGTATGTAGAAAATAATGTTAAATGCAAATATAAAGTTTAATTTTTTCATTTCCAATCTCTGTGCCTTTTATCCCCTTTTCTTACGTTATTGCACTGGATGTCAAGTACTACATTGAATAGGAGTGGTGAGTGTGCATATCCTTATCTTGTTCCTAATCTTAAGAGGAATGCATTTAGTCTTTCATCACATTATTTTGTAGATGCTGAATGTTTGTGGAAGAAGGAAGTATAACAACTTCATGCACTTTAAGTGTAGCTGAATTCAAAGTGTGGGAAAGTGGAAGGACACTGTTTACAATTAAAGAAATCTGAATTCTCCCCTTGATTCTGATACTATACAGATCCTCGAAGGCCAATAAATGGAAAACAACAAGAGTTTTAATGGTGGGGGCAGAGGGGGAGGGAGCAAAATGGCATTATATTATATTCTAAATATTTTGAAATAGTTCTCATATTGAATGTAAATGAAATAATATCTTAAATAATTTAAACACAATTTAAATTAAAATATAATTTACCTTCTTATTCAATTAAAAATTGTTTTATAAATCAGAACATCTGAATTATAATCCCTGATCTGCTAACAAGTTATGACCCTTGCATATAACTGGCTCTCATTTTTGTCACTCTAAAATTGGAACATCACAAGATAGCCAGATGCAGCAGAGGATACCAGAAAAAATGCTGACTTGGAAACCCCTGACATCCTGGGTCTGGTCCATGCTCTGTAACACAAGAGGTTAATTTATCTGAACCTCAGATCTCCTAATCTTAACATGAAGTACAACAAAATCATCTCCAAAGTCCTGTCTAAAATCCTATGGTTCTATGAAATGAATTAAAATGAAGTTACTTTGACGGTAAGTGGGCTACAATATATAAGACAAAAAGATTACTTGAAATATTTATCAATAAAAAGTTGAAGTATATGCTTGCAGCATATTAAAATACTGGTCTTCCCTTTATATTTTTCTCTACATCCTCTTGTGCCCCCAAATCAGTATTATTTTTATGGTTAAAGCTGTGTAAACATGTCCCTTTTTCACCTCTGTTGGCTCAGAATGCTAGGTGCTGAGCTGCAATAAGACATTACTTCTTTTGTTATATGCAATTATCTGCTTGCTTTAAATGATTCAATTCTGAAATAGTATTCCTGACATGTCTAAAATAAGAATTTTACACGTTAAAAAAAGTTGAAGAGTGGATAAGCAGATATATTAGTCAGAAACATACATGGTTGAAGTAACAGGAAATCAAACAGTGTCTTAAACAATCAGGAGTTTATTATTTCTCATGTAATAACTGGGGAGTCTGGCAATTGCTCATCTTGGTTTGGGTGTTCAACAATTCCATCAGGGACCCAGCGGAGTTTGGAATTGCTCATCTTGGTTTGGGTGTTCAACAATGCCTTATTAGGGAACCAGGATCCCCTTAATCCTCCTCCAGTTCCATCTCTGAAATGTAACTTTCATTCTCATATTTGCTGTTTCATGGTTATTTAAGATGGCAGCTGCACCTTTAGGCATGTTGTTGGTCAGAAAGAGGAGAAAGAGGCAAAGACTGTTTTCACACAAAGCTCTGATTTTTTAATTTGAAAGGAAAGCCCTTCTCAGTAGGGTTCTGTTCATTTCATTCAATTTCTCAATTGCACTGGCCACATATCAAGTACTCAATATCACATATGGTTAGTAGCTACCACAACAGACAGACAGAACAGATGGTTGATTTCCTTCACTGCAAAAAGTGCTGTCTTGTACTAAACAGACTATATGGAATAAAACTACCACTTCTGGTTCAGATCAATGAAGGTGCAGCCTCTGGAGTTGGGGTAAGGTCCTAATGTCTTTGAGGAAAAGGGATCCTTGCCACTATCGGATCAAATTAGGGTACTGTTAAACAAAGAAGAAATAAAGGTAATAGCTGTAGGCAGCTGCCTACTGTAATGGGATTATCACTACATTTAAGTTGAAGTTTATAAATTACTACGGAATGACAATGTGCTTAACAAATATAAAATCTTGGCAAGAAGTTATTAAAATTTTGAAAAAATAAAGTGATACTGGCCAGGCTCAGTGGCTCATGCCTGTAATCCCAGCACTTCGGGAAGCTGAGGCGGGTAGATCGCTTGAGGCCACAAGTTCGAGACCAGCCTGGCCAACATGGTGAAACCCTGTCTCTACTAAAAATACAAAAATTAGCCAGGCATGGTGGCACATGCCTGTAGTCCCAGCTACTCAGAGGCTGAGGCACAAGAATCGCTTGAACCTGGGAGGTGGAGGTTGCAGTGAGCCGAGATCACGTCACTGCATTCCAGTCTGGGCGACAGAACGAGACTGTCTCTCAAAAAAAAAAAAAAAAAAAAAAAAAAAGTGAAACTAAGGCAGACAGCTATAAGAGGCACGGAATTACTTATTACACAAATATAATTGCTAGAGTAAGCACTAATCCAGTGACTGATGCGGAGGAGGTTTGAAGGGGAAAAGGCAGTGAGACAACGTGCAGGCACTATTTTCTTTACAGAAAATGTAAATTTCAAATGGTTCATCATGTTGAAAATGCAGTTACTAATTTCATGTGTACAAAGAGTAGATCTTTGTTGTAACAAAGATTAGCAGAAAATTACCTTCATATGAAAAGAGTTCTTTCATGGAAGATATTAATTAGCTGCCTATTACTCATGGCAGAATAAACCAAAAATGACTGTAATATGAAAAATTAGACTAGATATGGAGAATAATTTATTAGCAGAACTATTCAAAAGGTTAAAAGCAGCTGATATTGACAATACTTTTCTTTCTAAACACTTCTAGATTGTCAATTCCTCTACAATCCCCACTTGCCCAAAGTGGTAATGGCAAGTCTGCAGATGCCTCTGTATATTTTTAGTAAAAATAAATTTAAATATATTTATTATAAATACCATAAATATTTGCTATGAACGGTTGCCATTTTAAAACCTGATTTGTGTCTAAATGAAATTTAACTTTCAAAGTCTTTTCTATTTTACTGAAACATGTCAAATACTGTTGAAGGTAGCCTAATGGTTGTTTATTATGAAAAGAGAAAAACAAAAAATTCTAACTAAGGTAATGATAGAACAAGAAAATTTTAATATTTTCGTTTCTAAGAATAGTTTTAATTTTCTTATTTTTTCAAAATTAAAAATAACTCAGCCACTAAAACCCCTTAATCCCTACTCTATATGATTCTTGAATATTCTTTCAAATAATTTACTATTAAAGGATTCAATAAATATAACTTGCATAAAAGTTAAATTTAAGTGTCATAACATATTTACCTTAAGGCATTTTATATGTAAAAATCTCAATTATGTCCTATATCAAAACAAAAATTTTACAAAGAAATATTGCTGAACTTTGGAGAATGACATGTTTTAAGCAAGATTCATCAGAAGGATATTACAGCAGATAAAACAATTCAAATAGTCCACTGGAATGTACAGCAAAATCCAATTCAACAATATAAACAAAGTCAAAATAATCTGCTTCTGTCAGCTACATATGCTGTGTCTTTGCTATCACCAGTAAGGAGTTAACTAGAAACTGAGTTCTTAAACAATATATCCACTGTGAGTATAATAAAATGAAGTTAGAATCTTCAAACGCAAGTTTAATAAATCATCATGGTTTATTTAACAAGGTTATTCTACATTAGAGTTTTATATATATATATGTGTGATATGAAGAGACTGATGTACAATCAATAAGTCTTAAATCTCTCTTCCATGGATTTCCCCCATCTTCCCACTTAGCAGTAAAAGGCATTTTTAGGTTTATATAAACACATTCTTTACAACTGCCTTCTTAACAGAAAATCACTGTAGTATATAAACAGCACTGGGCATTTAGTAAATAAGTTACAGGCCAATAAGTTCAATTGTGCAGTTGTGAAATCTAATGTCAAAGAGTTTTTGAAACCTTAAGACTGGGTGATCTGCAATGTTTCCAACATGTCTTCGACAGCCTTAAGAGAATATTTGGTTTCCTTCTTACTTCGACCTGCAAACTAATTAAAAAAAAAAAAAAGCTCAATTAGGCTCAATTTCAATGGCAGGTTCAAAATGACAATCTTACCTTCACATTGCTAATGAAACTTAACATTGACTATTTTATAACTAGTAGGAAATCAAATATATTCTTTGTTATTTTCAGTAAGAATAAAATTTGGGTATTAAGGACATTTTCCTTTAAGGTCTTACCTTCAGTAGAAGTGTACAGAGATTTCACTGCACACTTGGCCAGTTTAAATGTTTTAAATGCTTACGCAGTATAATAACCTATAAAATCATAGATTTGAAACTATCCTACTCAGATCAAAAAAACATGAAATAAAAAGTATAATTTTAAAATGCAATTTAGCTTACATTTATGTAGGAATGTGAACCATTTCTACTCATCTGGTGTCTAAACAGATTTTTACAATTTCAAACAAAGGTACAATATAAATACAAGTTATTTCACTAAACATTTTAAAGTTACAAGTACTCTCTAAAATTATTTAAAGTAGCTCATAATTTAAGTTTCCAGATTTATTAGTTAACTAAATGATACGGTTCTGCAAACAGCTGTCAAGTAAAAACCTACGCTACACATTAAAACAATGTAAAAATGTTTTAAAGTATGCATTTCTACTTTATTAATTGTAATTTACTTACATTATAAAACTAATTGGGATTGGATTTTACTACGAAAACAAAATATATCAATACATACACAAAATATACCCTATATTTGTGTATTTAAAAGCAAATCCATGGCATATTAAATTCAATATCGTACACATAATCGCTGGAGGGAAACACTGTTGAATACCACATGCTGATTTTAAAATGAGTTTGTTAACTGCACTGACAATTCCCATCATTTATTAGTCTGATTTAAAACAAAAGCGTTACTAGATAAGCAAGTGTTCCTTGTTGGAGATGGGAGAAAGTTTGTTTTATATATATATACTTTACCCATTTTCCCCCTGGTTAAGTATGACTAAAATACTTGGTATTAGCAACATCTAGTGTTTTCAAGTTAACATCAAACCACTCAATACATTTTCAAGTGACTGATCATTTCTTCAAATAACAATGCTGTCTTAAGCACTTAGTACTTGATTTACGATGTGTTCCTTGTCTTTTGTAATTACCTTAATTTGGAAAACTTCTCATGACCTGTTCAGAAAGATTAAGTGATCAAGCACAGGTAACATCATAGAAGCAACAGGCTTCAGGAACTGGTAACCTGTCTCTGACCCCTCTGGCTACAGCTTAACATTATGATTCCCTCACACTTACTACACTCTAAACCATTAGATTAGTTTCTGTAGTTGAATCCTGATTTGAAAAAGTAAATAAAGGATGTTTCTAGTGGAAATGCCAGAGGAAAAAAAAAAACTTTTCATAAAAATCCATATCACCTTGCCTTTCAAAAGGCATCACGAATTTAAGGAATTCATATGTTAAATACGGTAACAGCAATATCACATTTAAAACTTTGTCCTTTTATAATTTCCCCTGAGGACGAAAGGCTGTGGGGCATGCTTACTACTTTTGCTACCCAGTCAATAAATTACACAATACACAAGGATTTACCAGAAATAGAAAGCTTTTCCTTTTACCACCATTTATGAAATATAAATAGGAATGGTCCTAATCAGATACTTAAAGGTCTGATTCTGAGAAAATTAGGGGTACAGAATAGGACACCACATAGTAACATTACCACATAACATTTATTCTAATTGCTTTTAAATAGCAAAGTAAAAATAAAAAAAATTCTGTAGAGCTAAAACCATAACATGTATTTTTAAATACAGTATTTTTCTTGGTTTATACTTAAACATAAAAATAATACAGTGTGATCTTTTAAAATTAGCTAATTTTAAAGAGTCACCTAAAATGGTGTCAACATTACTCACAACCAGTGCAATTTGGAAAAAACCAAATGAATTTACTTGTGTCAGAACAAATAAAAGAAAGTTGGAAATATAAATCTATCACTTCAAATTTAATGTGACATGCAATTATTCTGTCTATTCCAGAATTGTATGGCAATTTAACTGATTAAGTCAGAATCATTTTTTCTCCCAAATCATGATTTAATTTTCTGTTTCCCAAAAGGACAGTAACAGAATCACCGCTGCAATCATAAATAACATATAAATCACTAGCACAGATTTAACTGTGCACCAAAGAAGCATTTATCTGGAAAATCATTGTAAGTTCACATTAAAGTTTTTCATGTGCATTAATCAAATGTGTCTGCTTCTACTGAACATGTTAAACCAATTACCTAATTGAAGAGCAAATAGTAGCCATATTCTGTTTCATCATTAAGTGGAAACAAAGAAAGAAAAGCAGTTCTTGAAACCTAATATTCCCTAATTTATAAATATCTAGAAAAATCACATATTAAATATCACATACTCTATACTGGTTTACATGCTTAGATACGATTAAGAAATTCTCACTGAGATCCCAAAGATTTACCTATTTATCAAAAATGTCATTCTCTGAAAGTTATACTCTTCTACATGATTCACAAATTCTGTATTTTTGTTTTCATACAGTTAGATTTTGCTTAAGTAAATCTTTCAAAATTCTCTGTAAGATCTACAAGAAAACTCACCAGAAAAAACACAAACACAACCAAATAATAAAAACTTGCTTATCAAATTCAGAGGTCAGTGATTCATGCATTGTAATAACTGAGATACCTTGCTTGGTATCTTTATATAATTTGTGGAAAATACATGGGTAGACAAAGTAATAGGGAAAATGAAATGGATTGTAAATGAATGAATCTCAAAAACATGCTGAGTGAAAGAAGCCAGACACAGAAGAGCACATAGCCTATAAACTCATTTATACAAAGTTATAGTACAGGCAAAACTAATGTTTGGTGATAAAAGTCAAATCAGTGCTTGTTTATCTCCCAGTGGGGGATGAGGTTGACTGCAAAATGGCAGAAGGAAGCTTTCTTGGGTGATGAAAATGCTATTTAGAGTGGGGGGCTGGTAAGGGGGTATACATATTTGTTAAAACTCAGACTGTATACTTAAAATATATGCATTTGATTACATGTAAATTATACCTCAACACACCTCAAGGGGGTCTTGTCACACTGAAGAGACAAGGAGAAGGAAAAACAAAATAACTTATGTTTTAACTTCTTTAATTCTCAGAATATTTTATTATGGCCATCTTGCAGAAGAAAAGATAAGCCAAGAGATGTTAGGTAATTTACTCAAGTTTGCATAGCTAATAATTATATCAGAGTCAAAATTTGAACCCAGACAACATGTGTCCAGCATCTGTAATCTTCTCTTTAACTACACTGAACTAGCTTCCATGGACAGAACTCATGATAGAATACAAGATGGACAGAAACACCAGATATCCATATGGGGAGCAACTGACCCCCTATTTCATATCATACATAAAAATCAATTCCAGGCCAGATGCAGTGACTCATACCTATAATCCTGGCACTCCACTGGGAGACTGAGACAGGAGGATTACTTGAGGCCAAGAGTTTGAGACCAGCCTGTACAATACAGCTGGACCTCATCTCTACAAAAAATTTAAAAATTAGCTGAGCACAGTGGCATGCGCCTATAGTCCCAGCGAGTTGGAAGGCTGAGGCAGGAGGATAACTCAACCTGGGTGGTTGAGGGCAAAGTGAGCCATGATCATGCCACTGCACTCCAGCCGGGGCGACAGAACCAGATTCTGTCTCAAAAAAATAAAAATTAAAAATTAAAAATAAATCAATTCCAAATGGGTCGTGGATTAAATATGAAAAGTAAAACAGAAATTCCGAAGACACACAGAATTCTTTATGACCATGAGTAGCAAAAGATTTCTTAAACAGAACACAAAAAACACAAACAAATGACTGAGGCATTTGAACACATTTCATTTCAGAACTTCTATTCCTCAAGATCATATGAGCAAAAAAGTAAAAAGTTATATATATTTGCTTATATATATAACTAAAAAAGGGCTCAAAGCAAAAAACTAAATAAATAAGTCATACAAATACTAATGAGAAAAATATTTCATGAAAGAGGATATCCAAATGGAACTGATCATCAGGGACATGCAAAATAAAACCACGTACCAGAATGGCTATAATTACAAAGACTGACAGAACCAAGTGTTGGTGAAGATGTGGGACTATTAGAACTCTTACCGCTGGTGGGAGTAAACTAACTTGGAAAACTGCCTTTAACTACTAAAGTTAAATATACATATATTCTATGACCCAGTATTTTCACTCAAAGATATACAGAACTGCACATACAGTAAGAACTGCACATACATGTCCACCAAAAGATCTGTACAGCAATATTCAGTATAGTTTATTCAAAATAGCCCAAACAGAAAATATTCCAAATGCATAGCAATAACTGACTAGACAAAGTATAACATTCATACAATGAACAACAGTAGAAGAAAATGAATGAACTACAGACATAAACAAGGATAAATCCCATAAACTGAATAATGATAGAAATATGCAAGACAAAAAAGAATACATACTGGCTGATTCCATAAACTACAGGGTTATAAGTGAGTACTCTTAAGGAAAACAAGAGGAGAAATTAAGAGGACTTACCAAGAGGGCTTTGGGATGCTGCAGTGTTTATATTTATTAGCCTGGATATATTTACCTTATATTAGTCACTGAAAGGCACATTTATTACTTGCATCCTTTTTTTCTGTTATAATTCTTATTTCTATATTGTAATTTAGTAAAAATTGATTTTAAAATAGTTATGTCAAAAAAGCACTCTGAAGAGCTGTTTCTCATAAATGTCTTAAAAACGATTATGTAGTATGCACAGCATTACTTTTATATTATACAAATCTTACCTTTAAATCACACACTTCCACATACTCCCAAGCCTACTCTGTGTGGAACTACATTACAGATCTGAGCTATCCCAAACTACATTTGAAGAAGCACAGTCTCGCTAATATTTATAAATACGCTGACTTACAATATGCCAACAAAACTAACATGCTCTATAACAGACAATAAAAATACACAAAGGTGACTTTCGATGATGTGATTATGGAGGCATTACATTTTTTAAATCTCCTCAATTTTCTCCAACCAGAAGGGCAAAAACGAACAACAAAAAGCCAGCACCAAAACCAACATAATAGAACCCAAGCCCACAGACGACATTTCCAAAAAAACTAGGTGCCAATTTTCTAAACCCTAGAATGTGACTATGGCATCAAGAGCAGCACGACCTACAAAAGATTAACAACTGTGTAGTAGGAGAAATAGAAATAGAGGACAACCTACTACTCTACAAGAAACCAGAAACCAAACAAATCATGAATTCTTAATCCACGAAACAAGAAAACCTGAGATGATGCATCTGCCAAGGGCCTAGAAGTCTTCATAAGCTCCAAAACAAAGATAAGTGTAAAAAACTATTCACAAATGTGAGATTAGACAAGTCTAACCATCTACTATCTTAAAATCTCTAAAATATCTAGCAAACATCCTCTTCCAGAAGGACAAAACTTCACACCCTGAAGAAAAACAATTAAAAACTGAAACCAAACCTAACAGGGCAGAAACACCAGGGCAAGAAGGAGAGATGGTTCAGATAAGGAGAGGTGAGAAAAGGAGTGATGCCCAGAGGCAGCAATCCCAGAAGGAAACAAAACAAAAAGGAAGAAACACAAACTGTAACAACAATATGTAATATTTAAAGCTGACAGCAACACTTCAGAATTCAAGATCTTGAGGCCTCTAGAAACAGAACAGTGGGCTGAAGCCAGAAAATCTTTCTGGGTCACACTCAGTTCTAAGACAGACTCTCCATTCACACTCAGTTCTAAGAAAGACTGGCTACACAAAGAGGTCATATTTGAGTTCTCTTAAGCCAAAAAAGGAGGTAGCCATAGAATAGCCAAGCTGGGAAAGCTACCCTAATCTATCTCCAACTTCCTGCCATTCCATAAACATCTCCTCCTAATAGTCCAGGAACATTACCTCATTTAAACATGGAGGACAAGAAAAATATGAATCAACTTCATAAAAAATTATGGAGAAAACATAAAATACAGAAAATGACAAAATAATTTGAAGGAAAATGAATAATAAAGGACATAGAAAAATGAAGTCTAATACACTTGTAACTGAAACCCTGAAAAAGAAAATGAAGCAGAGAAAAAAATACTTGTAATTCTATAAGCAACTTTTCTCAACTAAAAGGGCTAAATTGATGTACTAAATGGGTGTACTGTGTATTTGGGAAAACTGACCCAAGAAGAATCAATAAAACAAATCGTAGTAAGACTACTGGATTTTAAAGATAAAGAAAAAATTCCTTTGGGTAACCAGACAAAAAGTCACTTATGACAAAAAGCAAGTCAAGATGGCATCATACTTCTTGACGGCAACATTTTATTCTGAAACAGAATGAAACAGTGGGGCATGGTGATGCCTGCACCTGTAGTCCCAGCTACTTAGGAGGCTGAGGTAAAAGGATCGCATGAAGCCAGGAGTTCACTGCCAGCCTGGGCAATGTAGCAAGATCTCGTCCATATTAAAAGTAAACAAAAAAAAAACCAACTGAACAATATGCTTAAGATACTTAGGTAAAGGATCAACGGGTATATAAAAAGCCAAACTGTCCTTTAAATATAAAGGCTATAGACAAATAAGGCTAAAGATATAAGAAGATGTGTTTTCCCATGAGTAAATTTCTCATGAAAAATAATTTCCCAAAAATCTGCTAAGGATGAGCTTTAGAAAACGAAGATACAAATGGAGAAGTTTCAGTAAAAGATCTGAAGTATAAGCAGACTGCACAAACTTTGTTACGCAGTTTGATTAGTTTACTTTAAGGCTTTTCTTCCTTCTTTTCTATTTCTTGAGATACTTATGATTAAAAATATACTCACATACCCCATCTGCTTCTGAAATGCGACATATTTATTTATCCTGAGTTTTTAGAATTAGTTTGCGTTTGCCAAATGCAGAACCACTGAGATTTCCAGATTGTAAGGTCAATTATGAAATAATAATACTAACAGATTCCTCTTGAGGGGATAAAAAGGTAGTCTTAAAACCACAAATTAATTCTACACAAAATACATTTCATAAAGCCCCAAAGGCATATAAGTCCAATGCCAGACATCTGACTTTGTAGTTTGTAGAAACAAAACTAAGAAATACATTAACTGACCTACATAGCAAAATGATCAATAAATACTAACCTGATAAGCTCTGTTTATTTGACTAGCTGCCCAACTAGCATATTTCATGTTGTCCTTTTTCGTTTTTGCACTTGCTTTTGGATTAGAAGCAATATGACTTGCCGACTAAAAACAAACAAACAATAACATCAAAAGCAAAATTCCTGTTTTGCTAGTCAAGACAATCAAAAACATAAGGGACATGGTTGCAATGGGATGATAATAAAGAATTTTTAAAAACTGTACCAAAATAATTTTTAATATAAACATAAAATTGAATATTAGTGCTTAAAAATGAAAATACATTTTAAAATATAGTATAAATCCAAAATAGTGGAAAGGGAAAATATATTTTAAATAATACCTAAAATTATTTAATTACGTATCTGTAACAGCTCTTAAAGGTAAAACTCCGTATCGTTTAAATAAAGAAGCTATAGAAGAACACTTTATAAAACAAAAGCACTTTACCACTGTAGGATATTACTGGTACTATTTCTTGTTATTGAATTACATAAGCTTGCCTATGTCAGAATCACATAATTATTGAATATTTATAGAAAAAGGAAACTCAAAAATAATTTAGCCTGACATCCTACATTAATAGATAAAAGAAATTTAAGTCCAATAGGAGAGATTTAACTTGACCAAAGCAAAATAATGGGTCTTTGAAATAAAGAAGATCTTTATCTCTAATCCATTTCTCTTTTCACTATACCATGAGTTTTCAAACTGTGTTTCAGAGAACCAATTAGTCCCTGCAAGTTGATCCACCCTCTCCTTTTTAAAAATGTATTTAAATGAGCAGTTCTTAATCTGGGATCTGTGAAAGAATCCATAAAACCCCAAAATCATATGCTAATTATTAAATGTATATATTACTGTGAAGAGTAAGATATAACTTTAATCCTATTCTTAAATATATTTTACTCTTAAAAGAATCTGACCATGTGATTCAAAAAAAGGTTAAGCCTTTGTTTTATGCCAGGCTGTGCTATAGCCTCTTTCACCTATGTCTCCGTCTCTGCCAGTGAAGAATCTATATCCCCAAATCTCACTTTTATACCTCTATGACTTTAATGTTACCTTCTTCTTATGAATTTTAGTAGATGCAGTGGTTACGAGAAAAACTATGGAGTTAACTTCCAGGGCTGGAAACCCAACTCAATCATTTAGGAGCTCTGTGCCCATTTTTGGGCAAATTAATTAAATCCGTGTCTCAGTTTCACCACCTGAGAATAGTATTGAGAGCACCTACTCAAATACTTGATGTGAGGATTTATTGATTTAAAATAAAAAATACAGGTCAGAACAAGGCCCAGCACATAAAGTGCTATGTATAAACTATTATTAATATGTTGTATATTATATAGTTTTTAAAATTAGTATGTATTTGATAAAGAGATACTTCTACTATAGTATATTTTCAAGCCATTGCAATTCGCTTTGCTAGAATCCAGGAAAATTTTATTGAAATACATTTGAACCATTTTCTAATCATATTTTGCCATTCCTTTTTAAAAATTATTTCATTTTTATTTCTTCCTATCTCCATTTCTTCAATCAGTTCTTTTTCATTGAGCTGCAACTAGAAGACACTTATCAAGAAGTCTGTCAAAAGAACAGGATAAATAAAAAATTCAAAGAACTAACTGACATATTAAAGTTTATTTTTCCCAGCCTTTCTTATTTTAGAGAGGTGCTCACTTTATATACATGTCTTAAAGGTCAGCAAATTATTCCTCCATTTCCCATACTCTTACTAATTGACTTTTCTAAACTCTGCATTTGGCATACCTAAACAAGAGATCATTATATACTTCCCACAATTTACAAACTGTTTTTCTACACCATAAAAAATGTTTTAATTTTATATATTAGGGATTTTATTTCTAATGTATTTTATTGGCATAGTTTAAAAATACGTCATACAACTATAATTTAGGGAAGAAATACAATAATGTTGGGCATAAACCCAAGAATATCAAAACAAGAAATCATGTTTTTTTTCCTGTTACTATTTAATTTTATAAGGGCAGATTTCAATTCTGATACGATAAAAGATAGTTTACAAAAAAAAAAAAGTCAAACAGGCTGTAGTAACATTCAAAAATAAAACTGGCTTACAAGCTATTGCTCAGAATTAATTACAGAAAAATATTATATGCTTATCAATAAAATACAAAAAACAGGAGAGGAATGATTGGAGGGGATAGTTGAATGGATTTTAGGTGACAGATTTTTAAAAATAACATTAAACATGCACCGCAACTCACCATATAAAGCCCAAACAAAGCTCTCATATTTCTGTTGTTCAGCTTCAATGCCTGTGCAAAATACTTTCTTGAAAGTTCGAGGTTTTCAAGTCCACCTTGGGTATATTTAACCTGTTAAAAATTGCAAAGTGCTGAAAACCGTTTATTTTACTACTTTGAAATATAGCATGGTTTCATCATACCACAGGCATTAAGTAATCGAAACAGATATTCTCTCTAAAAACAAATACAAGATGTTAAAAGAATTCACCTAAAGGTTTTTAAAGCTAATCTAAAATTTCAAACATAACCTTCCCCCAAAAAGCTATTCTGTTCTACGAACATTGAGATGACTGAGTAGTTTTTAAAACAAAAATGCTGCCACAATAAAAAGCCAGAATAATTTCTATTTCAGCTGCCTCACAAATGCTTCACTTCCCATTGTATTTTCTATTACTGGCATTATAAATGTGGACTTAAATATTGAATTGTCCATTCATAATCTGTACGGACATTCTTTAATAATGAATCCCTTCTAGCCTTATAGCATTCAATTGTACTGCTATTCTTAACAGTATGCAAATTAAATAAATACTTCCTATGTCCCAACTGGCTTTAATACAAATTTCCCTGAATATGGATTTAACAATCATAATCACTATAAATGTCTCAGAAGCCATTAAGTGGTAGCAAATGTGATATAACTTATAATTAGGAAAGAAAATAGTACACAAATATAAAAATACAAGGAATTTCACTGTTTTAAGTATGTCTTAATTGAAGTCAGTATTACCACTGCAATGTTAAAAAATTTAAACTTTTATTCCCACAATGTAATGTTCATCAGATGTTTTAAACATATACTTGCTTAACATGAAGGAAATATTCTTAGTTCCATAATAATACCGAATAGCAACCAAAATAAAATTATATGCCATTGTTCTGAAAACACTTACTTCAGCATACTGCTGACAGTATAAGTGGTTGTGTGGATTAGTCATCATTAGTTCCTCTAAACAAAAGGCTGCTTTTGCATAGCTAAAAACACATCAAGAGGAGAAATTAATTTTAAAAGTCACAAATTTTTATTTTAGTTAAACCTTGAAATAATTTAAAAACAACTTTAGTGATGTTAAACAATATATTCACAAAATAATTTACATAGCTTTATTAATAAAATATTTGTCATCTGACATTCATAAATATCAATGACATTAAATTTTATCATGAAATTAATAAACACAGGCTTAAATCTTAAAGCAGCCTGTAAACAATCAATAGATACTGCATTTTAAAAATTGGGTCACTCCTACTACATCTCATCATTACTAATAAGAAAGGCTTCAAGACCTTGGATCAAGTTGTATATAGAACAACTTCTGGAAGTTGACTGATCATTTAAAAAAATATTCAAACAGCTAATGTGTAAGGAGAAAATAAATACTTTATTAAATATTCTCTACTCACTAAAAATTCTTCACAGGCATATATTTACCAACATATTCTATTACAAAGATTTGTCTCATTACTTAAGTTTACTGTCAAATGCCAAATTATAATAAAGTTATTAATTTCTAAGCCCATGAAAAATAGATCAAGTTGGTTTTGATATACACTGTGCTACTATTTAATCTTGTGGTAGAATAAACAAAAATCTTGCTGAAAACCTAAGGAAAGAGAACTGCCAGAAAGAGCTCTGGAAAAACATTTTAAAGCATGTGACTATAATTCACTAAATATATTTTAAATGTTTAATGCCATGTGACTATCCTCACTATCTATAGGAAATCCTAATGAACACAGGTGTTACAAGATTTCTTCCCAGTGAGGAACTGATGACACTACCCAACAAAAAGAGGTTACCTAAAGTTATTTTTGGCATTTGTTACCAACCTACAAAAGTATCTACCTTGACACTAATGCCTGATATACTTTTAAAATTATTTTCCTGTTTCACACAAGTATAAGCTAAGTTTTACTAATTGTTTATTAGGTGTCATGCATTTTCTATGTGTGTTACATGTATTAACTCATTTAATCCTACCAAAATCCTAGGAAGAAGGAAATTATTATCACCATGCTAGAGCTGAGAATACTGAGGCACAGAGCTGTAAACTGAATCCCAGGCTGTGCCACTCCAGACAGCCTGTACTCTTTAACCACTACATATGCTGTTTATATGCATTACACATAACACTGAAAAACTGAAGATCTCAATGGTAACATGAAAATGTGTACAGCAGTCACACCCAAATGGACTGAGGAGAAAAATACACCCTGCAGATTACCTAATAATTACAGCAGTTTAGATTTATGAAGGACCATATATATATACTCTCATCTAAGATCATGCAGCTATTTAGCCCTTTCCATTTTTAAATTCAAAACCTAGCATTGGTTCTTGACACATGATAGGTATTTAGTAAGACTGAACAAATGACTAAATAAATGTCTAAAACAAATGTATTATGACTACCTACTTAATATCTATTTATCACTCTAAAAGAAAAGGGAAAATTTGTCTCTACCTTAAAACACTTTATCAAAAGACAGTTTTCTTCTAAACATGTTCCTTTAAGTATAAAGTATGATACCAAAAATTCATGTTGAGACTAAGAATAAAAGTTCTTAGAGCTTTAAATGGGTTGAGCACAACTGTGACACTGGTGCATAAAGCAAGATAAAATGGGCAGGTAGTAGTAGCTCTTAGGGTAAAATGAATACCAAGATATTTTATCAAAAATCAATTAGCATCACATAGAGAAAAGGATTCCTTCCCCCAATTTTACAAAGTATGGTATCAAACTAATTTTGTGGATAAAATATAGAATTAAATAAAATTAGGGCTAGAAGGAGCTCAAGATATGGTCTAGTCCAGCTTTTCTAGGCCATTGTTAGGCCACACAAAAAGTGACTATTTCCTCAATCTTGTCAGGGATAATACATAACCAGTACTATTCTAGGTGCATAGAAAAGTTAATTCATTATATACAGTGACTCAACAAGACTAAGAATAGAGAAGTGAAAATAATTTGAATCTACTTAAAACAGAATAACAATTGTTATTACAATGTTAGAGTCAGTACTAGGACTAAATAAAGTTTCTTCTCTTCCTTACAAAAGTATATATAACTAAAGGTTACAGTATTTGGTAATGTGTGTTACTTTACCAACATCACGATTTTTCCTTACAGAATTGTGGTAATTCCCTTTGATATGGAATTTTAAAAGGCTGGACCTATGAAAAGGAACTATAATCACAATCATAATAAATGTATTATACTAAACTGTTCCTTGCTGTATAGTATCTAGTTTCAATTACAAATCGAGTAAAAACATTTTGTCTTTCATAATGTGAATGTATTTTTGCTCACAAAGGTTGAGTATCCCTTAACCAAAATGCTTGGGACCAGAAATGTTTCAGATTTCAGAATTTTTCAGATTTTAAAATATCTGCATTATCTTACTGGTTGAACATTCCTAACCCAAAAATCCCAAATCCAAAATGCTCCAATGAGCATTTCCTCTGAGCATCATGTTGGCACTCAAAAGGTTTCAGATTTTGGAGTACTGTGGATTTCAGGTTTTCAGGTTATGGATACTTAACCTATAATACATATTGGTAGTGCTGACACACAAAAAATTAACTGTAGTTTTAAAACTTTAGAACAAGAGTCTCAATATGGTCAATGGGTGTAACATATACCCCTGGAATAACTAAAAACAAACTATAATTTATAAATCAGAAACGAACTTATAAAAGTAACTTAAAAATATAAAACGGTTATGTGGCATAATTCTATATCCCTTTTTCTCTCTATAAAAACATTAAATAGGGCTATATGAAAATTATACTACAGATATTTATTTGGAGTTAAAAATTCCAGAGCTGGGCATAGTGACACACCCGTAGTGCCAGTTACACAAGAGGCTGAGATGGGAAGAGCACTTGAGCCCAGGAGCTCAAGTTTAGTCTGGGAAATGTTGTAAGAAAACGTACATCTGTCTCTTAAAGAAAAAAAAATAGTTCTAGATCTAGGCTACCAAAGCTGCCTGTGACCTATTATACTTAAAAAAGCTTATAACTGTTCATACGCAGAAAAGAATATTAAATGTTAAATATATCTAACATTTTGAAAACTGCTACATTTTTGCCACTGTGTCCACGAGACTGGTGCTAAAACTGATATCCTACGATAATTTAACATTCCACCAAAAAACTCCTCCTATAATGACTTGCTCAAACATGTCAAATGAATCATATGAATTGACTGCAATTTTCAGTTTCAAAAAATCTGTAGATATGTATTTCCACTCACCTAAACATAAATATTCCTTCTACGTGTTCAATTAGAAAAAATAAATGGTCATTTTGTAACTACCTTCAAGACCAAAAAGACTTTCGTGATACTAGATAAAAGGGTAGGCTGACCATAGTTATCATTTCGTCTAAAAAATTTTTTTCAGGTGCTCCTACATCTTTGTATTTCTTGATTTTTTGAGATTTCTCAGTTCATTTCTCTTAAGTGTACATTCACCTCTATTTTAATAAACTCTTTAGATTCAAAACAAAGCAAAACTGAACATGGTGCCACATGGTGAAACAAATAAATAAATTTAATGGTAGGTTAAAAATAAGGTATAACCTAAATTTGATGATGAAATAAATATTAGAAATACATGCAAAAAAATAAAATTGCAAATGAAGTAGGGGAAAAAAGGTGATATATTTTTTAAGCTATTAAAGGTAGCAGACATGATGTTAAAAACTGATGAATCTGATTTTCTAAAAATGTAAAGTTTCTATAATTTTAAGAAGTCAGTATTTAAAAAGCATATAACAAGGATATACTTTCGACATACGGTTACTCTCCTTTACAAAAAAGAGCTCTTAAAAATGAACTAAAAAGGTAGAACCAATTTCACCTATCAAACTTGTAAAGATTAAAAAAGAATCACAATATCCAATATTGTTAAGGGACTCTAGTAAACGCTGGTGTGCTGGTAAACTGATGTTAACATTCTAGGGAACAATCAGGAACTATCATCAAAACCACAGAAAACGTACATCTTATTTAATCAAGCAATTTTAGTTCAAAGAATTTAACCCAAGGAAACAAAATAAAAATGATCACTACAGCATTATATATAAAAATATAAAAATACCTTTATATCTCCCTAGGAAACTGGTTAAAAATACTAGGGTAAACTGGTAAGATGAAATAATATAAAACCATTCAAAACACACTGCAGATTGTTATAGTGACAAGAAATTTTTGACAAAATATAAGGAAAAGTATAAAGTACGAAAGATAGTTTTATTTTGGGCTTTTGTTTTAAAAGGTAAGGAAGGACAAAATTCAAACTATAGTTAACTTAGGATGCTGGAATTACATGTAATTTTTGTCTTGGTCTTTATGCTTTATTGTGTTTCTCAAATTTTCTGCATTAGGTGTTCCTTTAACTTGAAAAAAAAATCCTTGTTAATTTGAAATGTTTAAAAATGCTTTCAGTTAGAAAAGTTTTAAAAACTACAAAAAAATGTTAAATGACTGTCAACTGTTTTCGAAACAAAATAAAATTAATGCTAATTATTTTTACTATATTCTAAAGATTCAATTTCATGTATTTAAATATAAGTATTATACACTGCCTCACATGCATAAGAAATAAGTATGTTTACATATGTGTACAACAAGCACATCATCTATACTGAATGTGATTCAGGAAATAATTTCCTAATCAAAACCAGAGTATCTGTTTCAGAGTATAGCAGAGAACTTCAAAAATGTTCCCAGAATATACTATACATTCATTAAATCACAGCTATTACTTTTATTTTAGCTCCCACTTTTCTTAGACTTATGCAAATAGACTTCAATCCTCTCTATCACATTATATATATAGACCACAGACAACAGACAAATGTCTTCATTCTATTTCTCATCAGTTGTTTGTAGTATGAGAACAAGGTTAAATATTCATGCACAAGAAAACGTGCATAAGAATCTGATTCTATTCTGTCAAAAAAGAAGGAAAAGAAGCAATGTCATATACTTCAGATTCAGAAGAACTAAGAAAAAAAATAAAAAACATGCCTCTAGATGGAGGTTAGCATTAATGCTGTAATATTAGCAAACTTGCACTAAGACTCTGGACTAATCCTCTCACACTGGGATTTCCTCCTGTCACTACAGCAATAAAAAAGCTAACAAAAACATTAAACATCCAATAAGCAAGATCCTACAGCATTCAACATTCTTGATTATTCTCAGTTTTTTACCCAGGCAACAGAATGCTTCTACTTTGGAAGAGTTGATTCTCTCAGTACTAAGGCTAATACATGCATACAATTGACAGAATTTTTAAACAGCAGGGAGTATAATACTCTTTGTATTATAAGAACAATCTGAACTCTAAAAATTCACATTTTTGATTCACCAAAAATAAATTTAGCTTAGCAAATGCAGGCCTTTTTACTTCCAAAGAATGTCACCTATATTTGAAAGAAAAACTTATTTCCTAAACATAAACAATATGGCAAAACACAAATGACCCAGTTAAAGCTATTCACATATTATGACCAGCAAATTATTGATTTATTTTCATTTAATTGTTGATTTGTTTTGTTTTTCATTTCAAACAACATGATTCACACCTTCTCACCAATCCTCTGGAAACCACAGTGCTTTCTGAACTTACAGTGATGAAAACTGCACTCAACAAAATGTTAAGTGTGTTTAATAACTTACTCATGTTCATTGATGTAAAGTTCTGCAAGTTCATGCCAGGCTTCTTGGTCTCCAACAAATCTGGTGAGAGGAAAAGAAAAAAAAAGTAAGTGTGTAGATATTCTGCAAATGAACAGCATGAAGACAAACAGGAAAATCAAATGCAAATTCCATTTTAATTAAAAAAGATTTATCAGAATAACAAAACACGATCCTCTTGTAAAACACTCACTGTTCCAGATACTCATTCAGTTCCCGAATGGCCTCAACATTTTTCCCCTGGGCTTTTCGAATGGCAATCTTACGCTTTCTTGCAGCCTGTGGGTTGACATTAATAAAGGATTAGGCCCTCATGATTCCTTGGGGTTTTGTAAAGAAGGTAATTTGACTGTGCAAATTATTATCTCAATGCCAGAGAAATTCCATTGTAGAACTACTGCTTAGTGGGAGTTTATAAACATACCCCATGACATCCCACTGGGGAATTCAAACATTCCTCTAACAATCACATATGCTTTACTTTTGATGCACACAATGTATGCACCGTTTCATCCAAATAAATAACCATCCAGATTCTGATAATTACTAGCCAGCAGGGAATCCTAATCTTTATCCAACTTAAAGTCCTTTACTCTGTCTCATTCATAAGATCTGTATCCTAAGAGGTGGAGGAATGGTGGAGATTAGGGGGAAAAAAATCTCACCATGGCATGGCCTTTGAATATCATTATATAAATATGGCTTCTGACAACTTTTTCACAATTTTAAGAGAAAATCTACCCATGAGTCTTTCACAAGAATAATACAGTCCTGAAATAAAAATTGTATAATAAGTAAAACAATTAAAAGTTGTATTCTAAAGTTTTTAAAATGATAAACATAAAAATCAGTGCCATTTATTGTGCATTCATCAAATATGTACCAGACTTCTACTGTTTGCTAATACTGTGCTACACAATGAAAATATAAAGATAAAAAAGAAATGATAATTCCTTGCAGAAGCTCATTCTCATGACAAAAACATATCAAATAAAAAATTTAATGCAGTAAGAGCAATGACAGAGATATCTAGGGTGTTATGAAAATAAGGAAGAGATCCTGACACATGCTGTGGCAGAGTGGACAAAGTGGAAAGACAGAAAGCAAAGACGGTCCCACATGTGATACCCGTACTGAAACAAAGAGTAAGTAGACATTAAAAATCAAAATAGGAAGTTATTTATGGAAACTCATGTGCATAGTGGGAAGAACACACGAGCAAAGGCCTTGGAGAAAGCAGTACTGTATGTAATCCAAGACTACAAGTTTGAGGCTGAGGTAAACAGTCAGGAACCGGAGCACACTGTATAAATTATTAAATTTACATCCCCTCTATGTTTGCTTCAAATACAGAAGGATAAACAATGAAACATACTATAACTGAGGCCAAGCTAAACTTATTAATTATGAATAAAATTTCTTATTGTTTTATATAATATTCCACAAGATGCAGACAGAAGTAAAATGGATATGGCCTCTTTAGAGTATCAAGAGCTACTCATTATGGGGTGGCGAGTGAGTGATTTGGCTCTGAAGAAATGAAAGTAAAAGTTTAGAGAAATCAAGAGACTAATAAACAAGGGTCAGAGCAATGTTTATAATAATTGTGGTAATATTTGGGTAATTAAAAATGATGTCTTAAGAATATATATTCTTAAGCATATCCTGAGAGTAAAAAAAAAATAAAAAAAGAATCTATATCCTTAACCAGGTCATGCCAAAGGCCTTAGTGCAATGCCTGTCACACAGTAGGCACAGGCAAATATTTTTAATTTTTAAATTTATTTATTTTAATTAATTAATTAAATTATTTAATATTTTAATATATTTTAATTTTTAGAATTTTACTAAGTAAAACAAAAATGTACCACAATAAATGAAAAGTTTTAAGTCTCAAGAACTCAGAAGTAAAAGTAAAGCTCTGAAAGTAACTCAAACCCTAAAACCATTAAGAATTTTAGACTTAAAATGGGAGCATTGTCCCTAGTCCTCCCAATAGATGAGGGATAAATTAACATGTAATCAAGAAACTTTCTTTTGGCCATATCTGATTTCACCAAAATTTGAAACATTAATTTAATCTTTCATTTTTCATGACACTACTTCTTCCACAGACAATATGCAGAGCAAAAAGTCTGTTTTGAAATCAAAAAGACAAGAAACTGAATCCCAATTCTTATCACTTACTAGCTTTTTTAACCTCTGCAAACCTCAGTAATACCATCTACCTTCAAGCATCAATATAAAACAACTAACACAGCATATAATAATATTAAATAAATGTTATCTTCCTTTTTTAACATTTGGTTCCAGGCTTAATGTTTATGTGTTAAATCTTGCCACAAAATTCTAACCAAACAATATTTAAAGGACTGGAACAGACTTGCTTTATTTGATATTTATATCTTGTCCCAATCCTTACAGGATTTGTAACAGGAGAGATGAGATACTGTATGCAGTGAAAACTTGTTGAAAACAATTGGATTCACCTGGGAGCAGAGGTGCATGCCTGTCATCTCAGCACTTTGGGAGGCTGAGGTGGGAAGATCACTTGAGCCCAGGAGTGAGAGACCAGTCTGGGCAACATAGTGAGACCCTGTCTCTACAAAAATAAAAATAAATAAACATTTTTTTAAAAAGAAAATATTGCATACAAATGTCACAAATCAAACAAAAAAATCAAAGTATAAATATGATAGCAACTAACACATCTATAGTAATAAGTGGCATGAACACTGTCCTGGACACTTAGGTACAATAAGTTTCATGAAGGTGGACTGAAAACACCTAACTTTGACTCACTGTTTCAGTTATTTGACCACAGAATCATTCCTCTACTGTTGAACACATACAAACACAATGTTTTCAGGTCAGCAGCTTTCTGCAGAATACAGTTTGTAAAGCAATATTTTAGACTGTTTCAAAGATCATTAATCTTTAAAAATAACTTTTAAAAGAGAATTCTTTTGAAAATGATGGAAAATAGATGTGTATCCAACTGAAATGTGTCAAGAGGGAGAACTAGGGTATCTGAAATTTCTGATTCTCATCCTAGATTCTTCTATAAGACTTCCTAAAAGAGGCTGTGCACAGTGGGTCATGCCTGTAATCCCAGCACTTTGCAAGGCTGAGGCAGGTGGATCACTTGAGGTCAGGAGTTCGAGACCAGCCTGGCCAACACGATGAAACCTGGTCTCTATTAAAAATACAAAAATTAGCCAGGTGTTGTGGCGCACATCTATAATCCCAGCTACTCGGGTGGCTGAGGCAAGAGAATCATGGAACCTGGGAGGCAGAGGCTGCAGTGAGCAGAGATTGCACTGCTGTACTCTTGCCTGGGCGACAGAGCAATACTCTGTCTCAAAAAAAAAAGACTTCTTAAAAGAAAGAAGCAGATTTCTTACAAAGTAAATAATTCATTATTATTTTGAATTATGTCCATTTGTGGTGGCTAGCATGACTCTAAGAATTATGCAAAAAAGAAATTTAGTATTAATTTTGTAATAACCAATTCCATCTGACAAAAACTTCAGGAAGATAGAAGACTTTAAATACTAGGCTTGGCCAGACACGGTAACTCACGTCTGTAATCCCAGCACTTTGGGAGGCTGAGGCAGGAGGATCAATTGTGGTCAGAGGTTCGAGACTAGCATGGCCAACATGGCGAAACTCCATCTCTACTAAAAATAAAAAACTTAACCGGGAATGGTGGTGGGTGCCTGTAATCCCAGCTCCTCAGGAGGCTGAGGCAGGAGAATTGCTTGAACCTGGGAAGCGGAGGTTGCAGTGAGCCGAGATTGTGCCACTGCACTCCAACCTGGGCGACAGAGTGAGACTCCATCTCGAAAACAAAAATAAAAGAAAATACAAATAAAAATAAATAAATACTATGCTTTATTAATTAGAGAAGCATGTCCCCAAATCCCTAGTGTATGAGCAATATATTTCTCAATCATGTAAAATCTAAGATATAGTGTTTTATCTCCTACTATTCTAAAATTTTAAACAAACGTTTAAGTGGTAACCATTCAGCTATGCAAAGCCAGTCTTCCTAATTAAAATATACATGGTAGCTTAAAAAAAAACCCTACTAAACTATCATTACCATATGAGCAAAGGTATATTATTAAGTCACAAACTTTTTACTAAATAACAGCCTTTTACAGGTTAGTTCTTCTAAAGAAAATCATACTATCCTGACATAAGAACCAATCTTTATCATAATTGTATTAAATTAAGCAGATAATTTAATCCTGGCCAAAAAGACACAACAGGACCAGATTTACTCCTCCTGCCTTAAGATATGGGACATTAGGCAATGAAGGGCAGTGACTCCTGAGAGGTGGGGAAACAAACCAGGTGAGTCCCATTTTTATTACCCTGGCTCACTGCTTTGACAGTTTCAAGGGTGCTGTGCAGGAAAGGGAAAACCAGGTTGAGCCAAGTTCAGGAGTTCAGGAGAAAGAGCTGAAAGTCCACGATGATCAAAGAGGCTGGACTTCATAGGACAGAGTGCCAAAGAGAGAAAAATATAGAATAAGGACTCTGGGGCTCTGCAGTGGTCCCCTTGAGTACTTAGTTTTGTACTGATCAGTGCATGCGGGTGAGGAAACTACCCAAGGCCAGGGAAACAAACACCAGAAAGGGTTAAGGGGAACAGTGCACAGCACTGATACAAGGCTGGAAACAGTCTCTTCTACCAGTCAGCCTGGAAAATGTCATGATTCATGGGCACTGAATAGAGTATCCAGAAGGATCTTGCTTCAGTAATGGGGTATAATTAGCCCTGGTCTAAACACTGTTCTGGATCAGGTCTAGCAAACACTCAAAGGTTCAAACTATTTGCAAGTAACTTAACTGCAGCCCAGAAGAAAGCTCAAGAATATAGGAATACAAACATGGAAAGAGAGGCAAACATGGCTGTTGAGTCTCATTTAGAGCACACTTTAAGCATGGCTCTGTTCACTATCTTGATTGTGGTGATGGTGTCACAGGTGTATACAAACATCAAAACTTACTAAATTGTACACTTTAAATATGTGCCATTTATTCTATGTCAATTACATGTGAAAGCAGTTAAAAACTAGTGCTAAGAAGACTACATGTTAATAGTCTTGAATATTTAACAGCTTTGATTTTGCATTTCTTTTTTTTTTCTTTTTTTTTTTTTGAGACAAAGCTTCGCTTTTGTCCCCCAGGCTGGAATGCAATGGTGCTATCTCGGCTCACTGCAACCTCTGCCTTCCAGTTCAAGCGATTCTCCTGCCTCGGCCCCCCAA